ATCAATAAGTATGTCATCTAAATTTAATTGCTTAATTTTCTGACTGCGTTCGGACCTCTGAACAGCTCAATTTTTTCCATCATACTCCGCCGAATGATTGATTGATACTGATTTTGCATTATTCGTTTAATTATGTATCATCTGTCAATTTTACAGGAGTGGGGAGGACCTCAGATATTACGTTTACAGACCGATTACAGCTAATAAATATACAACACAATACCCACCTACAAAACATAATATTGCCATAGATAAAATATAGTATAATCACCATTTATATTCGCTAATTTTATATCTCACCCGAATTGTCGTAAATAGTATATTCACCATTTGTATTCTATAATTTTTATATTATTACTCGAACTACCGTAGATACGCATATACAGAATAATAGTGCTGTATAGTAATTTACGTTCAGTCTATGGTCATATTTAATCAGAGAAGATTATATTGAGGATGTTTGATGGTTTGGTCATACTGTAAGAATGGTATACGTTCTTTGAATAATCATGTTCTATTTCTAGTAATACTTCATACGTGGATGTACGTTATATATCGTTTGCAACGTAACCTTTCGCATTGTTTCAAGAGAGAGAGAGAGAAGCTGTGTTGTCTTTTTTACGATGTCAGGTGCTAGATGTGGTCGACAGGTGGCGTGACGAGAGACATAAACTGTAATAGACGCGGAATCTCCATTCAAACTATGTCCAATATTTGATATAGCACCGTTTTTTTTTTGGTGATGATTCTCTGTTAGCCTCACTTTCCTCCAATATCTATTATGCTAAACAAAGATCCGATATAGCACCGTTTTAGCAATTTCTTTTTGTGTTACATATTTCTCCTCTTTCCAAAGCGCCATCGTAACTTCATGATTGGGCCTATAGCAATAAAGATATGATGTTAATGTCCTTTTGACATTGTCTTTGTTGTTTTTTGTCTTAACATATTTCCCGTCACCTCCCCTTTTCATTTAACGTATTACACGTAGTAATCTGACCAATAACAACAGAGATACGACTTTTTTGTCTTAGCATATTTATCACCCCTCCCCTTTTCGTCGATACCTCAGACATTGAGCCGTTAGGACGTTACAAACGTAGCGCCGATGTCTTTGCGTTTTATTTTTATCTTAACATCACACATTGTTGTTACGTTGTTGTACATTGATGTACGTTGAACCGTTTGGACGTGTGCAAGCTTAGTGTCCTTCTGGCATTGTCTTTTGCGTTTGCTTTTTATGCTAATATATTCATTACCACCTCCCCTTTCCATCGATACCTCACACGTTGTTGTACGTTGAGCCGTTTGGACGTTGCAAGCTTAGTGTCCTTTTGGCACTGTCTTTTGCGTTTTGTTTTTATCTAAACATATTCGCTACCCTCTTACCCATTCCAACGAGCCTTCATACGTCACGATCTGACCAATAACAATAGAGATACGATATAGCGCCGTTTTGGCACAGTTTTTTACGTTTGATTTTTATCTCAACGTGTTCCCCGTCCCCTCCGCTTTCCAACGATACCTCATATGTCGCGATCCGACGAGCCGTCGCGCCTCCACCAAAAAAAGCGTCAAAAATGAGCAGAATGAACCTTAGCGATTTCTTATGGGATTTTACATGGGAAAATACGCCGAACTCTTGTTGCCCTTATACTAAAGTCACTTAGATCTTTTGTTAATGTTAAGTAGAGTAGATAACCATTACAAAGATGAGTACAAACAAATAAACGTCAGTATAATAAAATGCTTGTGGATTCACGAAAAAATGCAGTATGGCAAGAAATATATATATAATAGTCAAAATAAGTCAAAAAGTCTATGGAAAATCATTAAAGAAATCACACAGATAAATTCGATCGATAATAATGTAGCTATACTAGGAGATCCAGTCATGGTAAGTAATAATTTTAATGAATATTTTTTAAATGCTGCTACACATCTTTTAGAAAATATATCAAAAATATAATTCAGCACCAAAATACAGTTGAACAAAAACTCATTTTTTCTAACGCCAGTAACTATAATGGAGTAATTGAAATTAATTAGAAAATTGAAAAATAAATTCACTTCAGGTTATGATGGGATACCTACAAAATATAATAAAACTGTGTGCATATGAGCTAGCTATACCATTATGTCATATAATAAACAATACCTTCATAAATGGGATATTTTCCAGACAACTTAAAAATAGCTGTAGTAAAACCAGAGTATAAAAAAGTGATGATGAAGAAGTAAAAGACTTTACTAGAACATTATCGTCTGATAAGCCTCTTAACCACCATTTTCTAAGGTTTCTGAAACAGTCATGTGTGTCGGGCTTCTCAGTGTTTTTTCTATATTGAGTGACTGTTATGCCATGCAAAACATGAGCACCTTAAGAAAAAATCTATAGAGACTGCCATTTATGATTTAATAACAAAGATAAATGAGGGTTATGAAATCAAAGATATATCCATATGCATATTTTTAAATTTATCAAAGGCATTTCATACTTTAAATCACAAAATACTAATGGAAAAGCTTTACAGATGGCATTAGAGTGTCAGGTTATAATTAGATAAAATCATACCTATCAAACAGAAATCAGAAAGTAAAATTTGAGTATGAGGGAAGAAATTGCTTCTCTGATGAAGGTCTTATTTCGGTGGGAATTTCCTCAGGAAGTAATTATGGGTCATCTTCTACTTTGTTTTTTATGTAAATGATTTAGCTTTAGACATAACAGATAACAATCAGAATACTCTTATTGTGAAATTTGAAGATGATACTAACATTTTAAGTATAGGGTCATCCTTGAATAATTTATTAAGTATCGCTAATATAATAGATTAGATAAAGCACAGAGATGGCTCAATATGAATAAACTGATACTGAACAGAGAAAAAACAAATTATATCTGTTTCGTCACTAAAACAAATAATAGTACCTTACCAAAAACTGTCTAAATTCAATCGCAAATGGTTACTCTAAACCAAAGCACAAAATTTCTGGGGGTACGTATTGACCAAAATTTAGATTTTGGACTGCATATAAATGAGATCTGTAACAGGTTAGCATCCATCTGCTACTCTTTCAAAATAACAGCAAATTATTTGGACGAAAAATGTAAATAAGTTGTATATTTTTCAAATTTTCATTCTCTAATGCGATTTGGAATAGTTTTCTGGGGGGGAAGTGGTAACGCTGAACAGGTATATAACAAAAAAGAGCAATCAGAACTCTACTTAACTTGAAATACAGACATTCATGTAGAGGTAATTTCAAAAAGCTAAACATACTAACAATGGCTGGAACATACATATATGAATGTTTACTTTTCATTTTAAAAATAGACATAAATTCTTGAAACACATAACAAACCATAATACTAATACACGAAACAATTTCATAAACGATAATATACCAATACATAGACTAACAGCTTATGAGAAAACTACAGAATATGCCTGTATTAAATTCTTTAATAAACTGCCTTACAGCATCAAAATAGAAACTGACATAAATAAATATAGAAAGTCTGTTCAACAATTGCTCACACACCTTGAACCATACAAAGTGGAAGAATACCTTCAAGCTGACCTGCAGGGATACTGAGAGCTCTTACCTGAATCTAAATGTCACTGTTATTATCATTATATTTTAATGTTACTTTTATGTTAAGTGTAGGTTGTTACAGCAACCATTATAGATTGTAATTGACACCATTCTCTCTATTGACAATTTATATTTGTGTGTAACTTGTGAATCCTGAGAATAAAGCTTTTTTCTATTCTATTCTATACCATAGTTTTAATTGATTTATTAAAGGAGGTTTCTTTATTGTATAATTCGGCATCTTTCACAGTCTTATCCAGTGCTAAGTTAAAAGAAGGCACGATATAACGTCTCCCTGTCATAACTCGATAGGTGTTCCAGAGGCTTGTACAAAATAAATAAATATTTCCACTTCACAGACAACTTTACTCATCGTCGCTTTTATAAGTCTAATTATTTTATCAGGGATGTTATGTTAACTCATAACTTCATATAGTTTAAATTTAAAATTTAAAAAATGTAAATTTAAAATTTACAAAGAGATGAAAAGTATCAATAATTCGTTAGTTTTTCCTGATATTTGACTTGGCACGAGGATTTATCCCACTGTACATCTACCCCATGTAAAACCACTTGGGTGTTCATCAAGGAGTTGTTCCACATATTTATTTAGATTACTTTATATGTTAAAGAATATCTTATATATTATGTTCAAGATAGTTATATCTCTGTAGTTATACACTTAAGTAATGAATACTAATGATCTGGGAAATATCATCGGTTTCCTAACCGGATACTGCCGCTTCAAGGGACACATGCATAAAATCGGACTGACAGAGAATGTGAATTGCAGATTTTGCCAGGCTGATGAAAAGTGGAACACTTTCTATGCAACTGTCCAGGGTTGGGTAGGATAAGGCTCAATACATTTGAGCATTCATACAGCTTCTGCTTTTGTTTTTTTTTTTAAGTTATTTCTGCTACTGTGTAAAGGTTGTGGGAGTTTGAAGAACATAAATGAATTACTTTAATCAGTGTTGTTAACATTGTCAATAATACCTGTTAATAATTTTTGGTTTTGTAGCTTTTATGAACCTGTAGAAGTTACAGCCTTGAGTTTCCAGATATTATGCTTTACTTGTTGAATTTGGCAGAAATGGCGTTCTTTCTAAATTTGATGTATTGATTGGTGGTTCAATCCATCTAATTTGTTGTGCTAGGTTACTAGTGCAAAGAGTCAAGTGAATAGGTGATTTCTTATTATTCACTAAAGTGAATCTGCATTTTAAATGATCAAATTACAGTGTTTGATTGCTTCCAAAAGAACTTTACCACATACATTCTCATATTCTCCATTCCAAACTAAATGATGAGTATTTAAATCACCCGTTATTTTTCTCAAAATATGCAAATCAGCAGTTAACCTCAAGTTCTATCAATATTTTATTGAATATACTTACAGACTACCAACAACCAGGTTGCAGAAGGATCAAAACAAAGTGCTTCAATTTGCTTAAAGCTATCATTAAACCATGGTATCCTTCTCAAAACAGGTGTTAGCTCTCCATAGGTATAGTACAGGACTACATCACCCTCACTAAAAAAATAAATAATAAACTTTGTATTGGGAAGTTTTGGTATATCAGCAGAACTTGTTTTTTATTTATTTTAAATTAGCTTATAATAACACACCAAGAAATAAGATTAATTACTATTTATAACTGGGAATAAGCCACAATTAAAGATAAAAAATACGTTTAATTGACATTTCAATTTCCAATTCTCAAATCGTTCTCAAAATACAAACAGTAAATTTACTGTTTGTATTTTGAGAACGATTTCCGAATTGGAAATTGAAACGTCAATAAACGTATTTTTATCTTTAATTGTGGCTGTAAATTTACTGTTTGTATTTTGAGAACGATTTCTGAATTGGAAATTGAAACGTCAATAAACGTATTTTTATCTTTAATTGTGGCTTATTCCCAGTTATAAATAGTAATTAATTTACAATGCCACAAGAAAATAGCTTCAGAACAATATTAAGAAATAAGATGTTGGGAAATGGATGAATTTATCATTCCAGGAAAAGTAATAAAACAAGTGAGGGATACACTGCATAAAGTTATATGTAAAGTACAAATGCAGCCCCCCTTTTCAAAATAGTCTTAGAGAAAGCTTTAAGAGACACAACTTTTAAAAAATCTTCACAAAGTACAGTGATAATCATATTCGGCACAATTATATCTTGGATTGACTGGTTTTCTAGTAATTGTAAAAATATGTGCTCATGTTAAATATCAGAATATTCAAATAATTTATCATAAGGACAATTCCGTCTCACTCATTTTAAAATATCTATTTCCTCAAATGTTCTTCTATCAATTCAAACTGAAGCAATCTGATTCCAAAACAAATTATTCAAGTATCTCTTCTGTCAAGTTATTTTCTTGAGAATTTCTGTCAGCTTGTCTGCCAAAAGCCTTTTTATAATAGACAAATACAAATATAAATCAAGGTAACACTTAACTAAAAGCTGCAAACTGAATAAAAACCTCTTGTATACCAAAATCCTTTCTTAAATTTGTATCTATCTCCCATTTTCTCTCCACATTTGTTGATTAGTAAATTATGTATTTCAATAAAATGAGAAATATTTTTATGTAAACTCTTAAATTTAACTTAAAATTGTATTTTGACAACAAAAGATTTATCCACTAGTTTTCAGATTAGGAAAGATTTTATTAACATGTATATGTACATGTAAATACATATGTATATGTTAATAATGGAAGACACTCAATTAGCAGCAGGTCAGTATATAGACAGCCAAGCAACCACTGGGGCTCTTTGAAGTCTTAAGGTGGACACTATAAATGAAAAAGCTGATGAATTTGCCAAAAGAGCATCAGATGCAAAATACATAGAGAAAGCAATGAGAGCAAATCCTATATCTTAAGGCAACATAACTCTCAAATATCAAGAATATTGAATAAATATTAAATACATTTTCGACAAATATATATTGTAAAAATATTGAGTTCTTTTAAAGAATCTGTGGCACCAACAATAATGAACCATCTGGTACCAACATAAAATGATATTTTATATAATTTTAGGCAAGATGAACAGCAATGTAGGTCTTCCTAAAACTGGTTTTTCGTGAAACTAAAAGTTCTCTCAGTAACATCCTGAACATGCAGGTAAAATTTATATCCAACAGACACATGCTAATAGGGTTAAGTTATCTGAATAAGTGCCAGTCACGGGATATCTGCATACAATAGGACTGTTTTATTTCAGTATGACCAGTTTACAATAGGTTTCCACAAAAAAAACATGTAGATGTAGACATTGACAAGTACATACCTACTCAGTAGAAGGTATCCTAAACTGGTAAGCTTGTACATAAAAATATACATATATACATTTAATACTTATTGATGATTATGGAGAGAGGGATTCTTCACTTGTAATTTTAGATCAAAGATCAAATACATTTAGAAGTTTCGAGTAATAAAATTTGTTGCAGACATCAATCAGTGTTTACTTAGCATTACTTAAGCAAAATGTAGTAGTAGAACATGGCGAGTCCAATACTACTCTGAGGAAGTCTTAATTTAAGAATTTCACAGGACATATACAAATGGTCTAGTAATGAACATTGTAAAATACTGTGAAACAAATATATTATTTTTGAATCATTTTTGTAGAAGCATCCAGAAATTGAAAACAATATTTTAGAAGAAATTCAAATGTGGTTCACTGCAAATAACATCACAATATTCAAATAAAGGAAAAGGCACACAGAAAAGTACATAATACCAAATTTCTGTGTATACACATATCAAATAGGATTTAGATTTGAAAACACATGGCAAATTATACACTAAGTTGTGTACTTTAAAATCAGGTTCTTATACAATATACAATTCTTTTCTGGAAAGGGTAGACTAAATTTGAACAAGTACTTGTTCAGTCGGAAAATGTAGTTAGAATATTGCTTTGTTTGAAATTTTTATCCATTTCCCTGTGGATGCTTTATTTCAGAATATTCCATATCCAATATATAGATGCCAAATGGCAGAGTCCACTCATATTGAGAAATAATAAAGTTTCCATATGGTGGCTTCCTCAGCGAAAGTATTAAGTAAATACAGGGATAAATTAAGAATTGAGTATTATGAGTGTATCAGGGATATAGACATCCTTGCATTTCTCTTCAAAAATAAAAATAAATTTGAAATAAACATAATAACGCACAATTATGACAAAGAAAGTCACAGCACGAGAAATCTCTAACATACCTTATAATAAACCATAAACCATATTTGGACCATGATTATCTTGTGAGAGAGGAAGGTTTTTATTTTTATGCATTCCTTTGCATATATATATAAATATATATATATATATATATATATATATATATATTATATATATAATATATATATATATATATATATATATATCAAATTATTCTCGACCGTACTGTGTTAAATATTATTTGTAGTCTCAGCAATTGGTCTGTATGAAATAAAACTCTATTTGTTATTTCTCAATATTTCGTCACGATTTTGTGACTTCTTCAGGAGAAAACTGTAAATTTTGTTTACATATAATAATTATAATAAATTTACAGTTTTCTCCTGAAGAAGTCACAAAATCGTGACGAAATATTGAGAAATAACAAATAGAGTTTTTATTTCATACAGACCAATTGCTGAGACTACAAATAATATATATATATTATAATATATATATATATATATATATATATATATTAATAATATATATATATATATATATATATATATATATATATATATATATAATCATTTTTTATCCTCACAGTATTGATAAGCATTATGTATTAGATTATATTGAGAATAAAGCTATCAATTTTATTTCATTCAATTGTATTTGTACACCAAAGAGCAATTTTTAATAGTAGAAATTTCTGAAAATATATGACTTATGTTACATTTTTGGCTCACAATGAATTTTACTGATATTTTTATATGGAATAAACATGATAAATGTGTCAGCTCATGTGATATAAATTATATTGACTAAAAGAATTATATATTTTATAAACATTCAAATGGTAATTTGGTAATATCATTTCTGTATTAGACAAATGAGTAATTTTTGTAATTGAATGCAATATTTTATTTTTATGGATTTATTTGTGTACATGCTTATTTGTTGTTATTCTTTTGTGTCCTTGGAGAAGTCTCATATTTGAAATGCAGATATTGTGAAAGACAACATTTATTTGTTCACATAAAACCATTTTCATAGCATTATATTTTAAGCAATATATGAGTGACATTATGAAAGCTTTGCAAAATAAATATTTTTCTAGACATTATGTATGTACTATATTTGTAATTGTTTTGCAACCTCTTCAAAATATGATTTATTTTCATATAAAAAGAACAATTATTAAAAGATTTTGATACATATTAAATCATTTAATTCATCCATATATGTTTTATTATTAACTACAAAATAATTATACTTGATATAATTTTTCTTTTCATTGTCATTGTATGCACATCAAATTGCATCAAAAAAGTGAATTGTTCATGAATTTATGTGAATCGAGGGGTAATAAATATTATGTATATGTAATAAATGCAACAAGGAATTTATATAGCATTGTAAATATATTCTTTTATAACAAAGGGCACTTTATTCTGATAACATTTAACATGTAATGTTTTTTCAGCAACATTTGTAATTTACCTTAAAATTAAATTACTTATTCGTCAAATAAGGTAGATGATAATTGAGCAAAATACAAGAATTATTCAACATTACCTAGTTAATAAAGCTAATAATTGTTTCACCCCATTTTCACATCTTGCACATAATTTTATATTTATATTTTCTAAAAGGGGCTTGATTTCAAAAATATCGTGTGCTGAATTGACTGACATATTATATTCTGTAGTTTTTCTTTGGTATCATGTTAATCTTTTATTTAATAATATCCAGTTTTCTGTTTAAAAACATTTTCCTTTGGTTTTTTTATTTTGACACTGACCAATGACATGACGTTTAAAATTGACAGCAAAATGACAGTAGTATTAAAAGAACAGAACTTTTGAATATTAGTGTCTTATCTCTCTTTAGTATTTGGTAGTATAAAGAGATAACTTTAATGTTCTAAAAGGACAGAAAAAAGAGAAAAACTTATTTTTCAGCCATTTTATTTTGTTGCCTTTTGTACCTAGGCTACTTTCCAATAGATGGCAGTCAATGTATGCAATAATAAATTTTTAAATTTTTTTTTAATAATAAGTATTACTATTTTACCACTTAAATAATTTTTAATACATGTATATTTCTTGCTTTCAAAAATCTAACAAATTGTCTGAAATACTATATATGTAATTTTTTGATATCATGTTTTACTTTGAAAACTTACTTTCATGAAGTTAAATCTCACTATGGTTCCGAAATTATTTTCTTGTGCCGTTTTTATATTATTTACTATATGTATTGCAATTTATAAAAAAAAGCAAAAATATCACAAATTTCATTGATGCATCTTCTATTTAATATCTTGAAGGATAATTTTCTGCTTCTTAGAGTGCCTGTTCATTCTTTCCTCCTGCATGACTAGAACCAGTAATCGGTTGAACCGTTGATTCAAAGCTTGCGACCATTCTCTTAAAACCTCAGAAATCTCTTCAATTATCACTGAATTGGGATTAAGACGATTAAGCTGTCGTTGGAGACGATCCCAGACTTCTTTCACTTTATACGCGTAGGTAATACTGAGCTATTTTAAAATTAAATTCACCATTGATGCTCGGTGAGGTCCAGCGTTATATTTCACAAGAAGAAAATTTGAATCAATTTGACAATTAATGGGTCAACCATCGGATAAATAACTACTGTGGCATAGATACGCCACAGTAGTTATTTATCCGATGGTTGAACGATAACAGGCAAACATTAATTTGCCTGTTAAGAACGCGACTCTAACAGAAATTCCACCTCAGACAGTAACATATCCTCCAAATATAAATAAAGCTTATAAATGATACAAGTCCAATTAAGCTCATGGTCCACGCGCGTGAATGGTCCAAATTCTACGGTTACCACGGTTGGCTCATGTTAACTGGTGATGTCCAGCGTATCTTCTGGTACTACATTCACATTAAGCCTGACTAATTATACTCTGAGAAAGTTGAATATTTGGACCACTTCTTGTTGGGTGCGATTACCTTGGTACAAAAAGTTTACCATGGCGGTAAGGTTGTAGCATTTTTGACCGCTTAAAAGAGTCTTCGCGTTCATTGTTCATATAATCTTTTACAGACACTTTGGTTTGTTCTGTATATATGTTTGACACAATTTTTAACTCTGCGGCATAAAAGAGAATCTTACTACGTGATTCTCCAAATTTATGCTAAATCAATAGTTGTCAGCGTTTATTATTTTTTTCTCAAAGACACACTGAACAATTAAATAATCTCTTTTCCATTCTTGCTTCTAATTGAAGCACTTGGAACACTTACCGCTAATTACAATACGCGGTTTACCTTAAAAAAGTTGCAAGCTAAATGGTAGGGAATGAGTCCCAGTATCGTTCTTTTAAAGCGAGAGTGCCACTTTAAAAGTTTTTTTTTTGCGGGGAGTAATATATCACTAATGGTGTATTCAGCTCTAATTTTTGGTTCGTTTCTGGTAACCAAAAGCCAGACCATCCAAAACTGTAAGTTATTTAAATTTTACTTTATCTACAGAACCTATTATACTAAACATAACTGATCATATTTACTGTAGAAGTCTACAAATTACGTGTTATAAATATAAACTTCCACGCGATAATTATATCATAAATCAGGGTGAATTTGACCAATACCTATGGGTTATGTTGGCTTTAAGGGTCGCTGTGATGTGTGACATATGCATAGACCTGCAACTTAAGAAAATACAACAAAGTGTCTAAGCAAGTGATATCGAATGATCCCGGTGGCCAGTTCACATCACCTGCACGTGGGATGACTATGCTCTCCAATTGCTGGTACAGAATGTATAATGTGGTATGAGCTGTGTAACGCGTAGAGCCGTCGGTTGGAACCACATGTCGTTGGTAACCATATCATCAAATTCAGACCAAAAGAAGTTGTTAATCATCGACCTTTAAAGCTTGCCGTCTAACCAACGTAGTTCTCAAAGGAATAGAGCCCGATAACGCCGTCAGCTCAAAATCCACATCAAACGATAACTTTTTCGGGTTGCATATAAGTTCTTGGATGTTCCACAGACAGTTCTTCATCTGGATTGGTATCGTTCAAAATTCGACAATTTAGTCCAAAAAATGGACTTCATTGCTGAATATGATTTTTTTATGAAAATTATGGTCAGTTTCCCACTGTTTCAGAACCTATTCAGTAAATATACGTTTCTATTTCTCGTTTCTATTGATCGTTTACCTTCGGCTCGTGGGTGAGTTGAATTTTATACCGGTGTAGGCCCAAGCCACGAAGCAAAATCCGCCAAGTTGTAGTCTGTGAAAGGCCGAGTTCTGGTAAGCGATGTGAAATCGGCAACCAGTGTACACAAATTTATCTATCACTATGTGAATATTCGTCTCAACAGAACGACTTTGGCAACATTACCACTTAGTTTAATCAAACAATTTTATTATTTACACGTGTAGTCCAGTCGTCGGAGATTTGACTTTTAAAAATCACACGAACAAGATGAATTTTGCTGAGAATTTCTATTTTGTGACTTTAAAAAAAATGTAAAAAAGTTTTGCATTTTTCGCATGCTAGGACCCCCTCATAAGGGGAAAAACGGAAAACATCGATTTACCACGAATCAGTACGCCGTAGAAAAAATATTTTCAACCCAGAAATGTAGCTGAGATAATTTTGAACAACAATGTTTATTAGCACTTTCTATGTAGAATAAATGGTTCATTCAGAAACATATTGAAGCGACTGGCGATTTTAAATGTCAGTTACGCTCACGAAATCAATTTTTTAATACAATTTGTATCAACTCGACGGTAAAAATTCGATATCTTTTGATCTGAGTGTCCTATGCACAAAAATTTAACTGAGTTTTTAAGGTAAAGAGTCCAGCTTTCGTATGAAATTTTTGTATTTTGTTACAAGTGGAGTCAGATTTTCGTTTTGCGATTTTTGCCATTTGTTACAATTCTCACTAGATCAATAAACTTTATTAGTTTAATTGATCAGTCGCTATGAAATTTTAATTTTAGAGCCGAATCTTCCAAACTTATAACATAAAATTTCGATTTCGAGTTTTGGCAACAAATATAAGGCATTTGAAATATACCTAAAAAGGCTGAATTTAAATTTTTACGTTAAAAATAATCTAACGTCACGTGGAATGCTTCCACGAAGACGGCATTAGGTGTAATTTGAAGCTAAAGTTATGTAATTTTGAAAAACAAATTTTTGCTATCGAATAGAAGAATTTTTAAACGTTTTAGATCATCACACTAACAATATGGGCATGGACAACCAACTGCCAAAGTTCGGAAGTTCCTATTGGAAGACCTACATTCTTCTTCTTCTTAGGGTGCCTGTCCATTCCAAAGTTCGCGATCATTCTGGCTATGATGACATTTTTGGTTGTTATACGGAATAGCTGTGTTGAGGTCTTTCTATACCATGCTCTCAGGTAAGCAAGCCAGGATATTCTTCTTCATCCTGGGGCCCTTTTTCCTTCAATTTTACCTTGACCAATGCATTTGAGTATCTCGTATCTGCTTGATTTCTCATTAAATGTCTAAAGTACTGCAGCTTACGGCCCTTCTCGATGTTGACCAAATCCGTGGTTGTGCTCATCTTCCGCAGTACTTCTTCATTGGTGACTTTATCTGTCCATAGTATCTTCAGGATCCTTCTGTATAATATAGCTCAAAAGCCTGAAGTTTTGATAGAGTTTTCGTCTTTAATGTCCACGTTTCTACTTCGTACAGAAGCACTAAGTATACGTAACATTTAAGGAGACTTAGTTTTGTTTCTAGGGTGAGGTCATGGCTCTTAAACACAGATCTCATGCCTTTCTCTTTTGCCTTTCTTTTTGCCTTTCCGTTGCGACATTTAATCTCTTGGGTATTGTCCCACGACTCATTGATTGAGATATAAGACCCACATAGTAGAATATAATTTTTATTAAGGCATTTCTTTCAATGATTGATTTGTTTAACTTTTTCACTATCAGTTTACCTGTGATTTTTATAGTTTTGTTTTAAAATTTTCATTTTTAATACTAAAATAAGTTGAGGTAGCCAGTAGACATATAAGCAACATTTGCAGATTAGGGGATCGATTAGAAACATTTTAACATATCTTCTTAAATTTTAAAAGTGTGCATGATAACTTGTAATTTATTATAACACTGATTTTTCTTATGTAAGATAAACATTTGTAGTTTTTATCCACCTTTTAATTTCCTTTCCAGTAATTAGTACCAATCGTTTCTATAGTTCACTTAGCTTTAACTTTTGAAATTTATATAATATTTCTTATAGATAACTTAAGGATAACTTAAAAGGTACATATTTCAGGACAGTTCTAAAAATTATGTAGCCGGTAAGGTAGATATTTTATTACTTTTTATACATATCAGATACAAACTTATAGATCAGTTAACAAGTTCTTTTTGGTCTAGTACCAATTAATTATTTGCTTCAGTATTTGTTAGCATCCTATTAAAAAGGGATGGTTATAAAGTTTTCAGGAGCAAGCCTTCGTACTGACATAATACAACATTATACTCGGTTTGGAAATGTGGTATATGGAAATGTGGTATATGGAACAGTTTTTATACCAGAAGATTACAATGGGCTTTGTACAAGATTGTTCAAACTAGATTCTGTTTTGTACAAGAATTTATTAAAAATAATATGACCATCCTGAGAAACTTCGAATACATATATAACATAAAATGAGTTCATACAAATGGTATACAATTTTTAGGTACTTCGGCGATAAAATGTTTTTATAAAAGCAATATTATTTTCTTATTATACTAAAAACCAAACAAGTGCGGGTCAGTGTCTATTTTGAAAATGTCAGTAGAAATAATATGTGTCACATTTTTCTACATTTTTACTTTCTTATACACTGATTACCTAATTAATTTTCCATTTTTACACAAATCGAATAAATAAAGATGGTTTATCCTCATGCCTATCGTACAGAACATAGTGAAACGCAAACTACCAGCGGTAGTTACGGGGCGTATTTTCTCGTAAAACAAAGTATGAAAATTAAGATCCAACCTGCCCTATTAAAAATAATACAATTCATAGATTCAAACAGGAAGAATTTTTTAAAAGATTTGGAACAAGCAGTTAAAATACGGTATGTACTAGAAATATATATTTTATAATATTTAATCAAAGTGCAAATTACGTTGAAAATTTACATACCATAGCGTAGAATTAAGATTTTCAAACTGTAAGTTAAAATTAGTATTGTTATTTAATGGAAATATATTTTTGGTGAGAAACTTGGTTATCTTTTTTAATAAGACTAGGAATTATTTTTGAATAAACAAAAAAAGTTAGTTCCAGTAGTTGTTTCGAATTTACTATCAACAAATCCGCGTTCAAGGAATTTTACCTCTATAACAGTGACATTTTATGCAGCATCTGCTTTCTAACATTTTAATTATTTTCTGAAGAATCTGACAACTGAATGTTGAAATAATCTAACGAATTTGAAGTACCTATAGAAGTGCTTTATAGTTTCTGGTGCAACTTTAGAGTGCTGACGTTATTTATACCACTTCTAATTATTAAAAACATAACTTTAAATAACTTATTATTATAAGTTAATTAAAGAAATACAATTATAACTACTCATAACCAAACAATTATCGTTACATACAGTGGCTCACAGCTTAAATGGTGCAGTCGCTACTCAAGAAAACTAACTTGTGTCAGTAGCTCAATATTTATTAGAAAACAATTACATAAGTACTAACATTAAATTACTATAGGTCTTCTAAAATAGCATAAGCTATTTTTTGGATTTCAAATATATCATACTTAAATAACAATAAATAATTAGTTATATTATGTATGATTTTGTTGTCACAGCTGAAATGATGCAAACTTTAAAACAAGAAAATTAATAAAGAAAACCATCTCAACGTATTAAAAAATGATTGCTAATATTTTGTAAATCTTCCTTTATTATCAATTACAGCCTGGAGTCGTGTAGGCGTTGATTCGATCAACTTTCTAGTATACACTGGGGAAATTGTGTCCCAAGCTTCAGTAATTTTAACTTTCAATTGATTTCTATTTGATATTGGGATTTTATTTACTTTATTTTTTAACGTCAACCACAAATTTTTAAATTCAAATCTGGTGACTGGACTGGTGTTTTAATGACATTTCGGCAATTATAAAGCAACCATGTACGAACCCGATATGGCGTGTGTTTTGGATCGTTGTCCTAATAAAACTAATAATTGTTATTGACACCTAATTTTTGATAACTAGCGGCGAGATGCTGCCTTAGTATATCCAAATACATGTACTGGTTCATATTTTCTTCAATAAAATGTATGTTACCTACTCCTGCGAACGACATACACCCCACATCATGACCCCACCTTCACCGTCAGTTACCGTAGTTTTCGTACTTTTTAATTCTAGTTCTTCATTCGGCTTTTCCGACACCGATATGTTTCCATCGGACACAAACAAGTTTATTTTGGTTTCATCAAAAAAATATTACTGATTTCTAAAAGCTCAAATCTTTGATAATATGCTCACTGGCGAACTACAAACTAATACGCCTGTTTCTTTGGATAATAAATGGTTTATTTCGGCAGTTCGACCATGTAGATTATTCTTTCCTAATATCCGTCTAATTGTTTCGGGGTTACTTGTTTTTCCAAACTGTCTTTTCACATCATCTCACAATTTTGGTGCACTTTTTTAAGGATTATTTCTTATTTCTCTGACAATCCATCTTACTTCACTTTTGGTAAAAATCTTATTTGGAGCTAACCTTGATTTATTGTCAACTCTACTTTCATTTCGGTAATATTCAACAATGTGCTGAACTGTTTACAAACATTTATTTACCATTTTGGATATGTCTTTTTGACTACTTCCATTTCTATGGTGAGTAATAATTATATTTCTTTCACTAATCGTAGTTCGGTGACCCATTCTTAAATAATTTTGTTATTTGCCTATTAAATACTTTTAAACGTCAAATTAAATATAAAATGAACTATAATATGAATTTAAAGCAACACCTACTTCGAAAATTTCAAATTGGTAAGTTGTGTGATTCTTCATCTTATACTCGGTTCGCTATTCCCAGTCCGAAGTCTCTAGTGAATTTACTAATTATTTTTTTGCGAAGTAAGTTACTTTTTGACAGACTAAAAGTGGCTGGAAATACTATACAACCAAGCACACGTATTCATAGCCAATATTAATAGTAAACAAACTAAATAGTAAATAAAATAGAACTTTGCGAATTACCGACAATCAATATTTATTTATTTGCACCATATAATAAATAGTTATGTTAAATTATAACAACTAAAATATATTTTTTAAATATATACTACCTAAAGTTTGATGGGTTTAGTATACACTTCCACTATTTAGAATAATTCTTCTTTTTTCAAAGAAAGAAGACTGCAATAGTAATATACTTGAGCTATTAATACTGAGAAGTACGAATTGTTGTGTTGTGACAATAAATCTGTCAAAATATGCCCGAGCTAAGCGAATGGAGTATATCTGCATCATTCATGCACCATTTTAGCTGTGATATCAAAATCATACATACTGTTACAAACATGCATTCAGCGTGGCCCGTGCAACGGTTGCATTGCGAAACAGCATCTCGGGCTTCGAGAACATTTTCGAGAATAATACTTTTGGTATATATATAATAATATATATATAATATATATATATATATATATATATATATATATATATATATATATATATATATATGTAACCATGTTATGAGTTAGTTTAGTTTGCTCTACACGATATACACAGCAGACATACCTAGAACACCAGGTACATTACAAGTCTCTATGCCGATGACACAGAGATAGCGGTCAAAGAAAGAAACGTAGACATAGCGGTCACCAATCTACAAACAGCACTAGACGACATAGAAGAATGGAGTCTAAAGGATAGAAAATAGAAAAAGAATGGAAAATAGCAATAAACTCCGATAAGACGCAAGCTGTACTTTTTAAAAAGAGGCGCCAATAACCGGAAGAACAGGTAACTGTGCAAGATAATCCCATCGAGTGGAAAAGCGAAGCAAAATACCTCGGAGTAATAATGGATAAAGGTCTAACTTTTAGCAAACATATAGAAGCCAACATAACAAAAACCAACATAGCAAAAGCTGCAATAAGAGACCTAGCAGGAATGAAAATAAGGCTAATAAACAGTATAGTCCTTCCCATACTGACCTACGCGTCACTTGCATGGGGACACACATGCAACTCGACTAAAAAGAAAATACAGGCGACACACAACAAATGCCCAAGAGAAGCAGTAAACGTACCAAGATACGTAGCTGAAAGATTCTTCTTCAGAAAATTACAGCAAATCAGAGTTACTGACACTATGAAGCAAAAAAGCTAGGATAAGGTTTGCAGAATTAGAGAACCACCCCAGTCAAATACTAAGAGAGATTATGAGGTATGACGCTTTCCATAGATGAAAGCATAAAAGACCAAAACAACAGATAGTAGATTAGAATAAAATACCAGAGAGAGAATTAAACCATCCCCCTAATGGAAACGTAACCCCAAAAAAACACTACAGCGAGAAGAAATAAATCCCAAAAATCAAAATACAAAACACAAGGAAATAGTTCGTAGCTCAAAACACCCAGGATACCGCATATCGCCAAACACATAGTGGGCCCAGTTGCCCAAACAAGGATAGAGTCTGTATTGTGGTATTGTATAATATTTATACATTTTCATTATTATAATATAGACTATATACTAATTCTGATTTTTTGTTCACAGGGCCATCTACAAAAAAATCAACAAAAAACACAAAAAACCGACTTCGGTTTTGAAAAAAATTAAAAAATTACTAACAAAAACCGCCTTCGGCCACCAAAAAAAAAAAAAACAAAACCCCAAAACCCTGGCACGTAGGGCCCAACCCCTTGAGCACCAAGTCGCCGAACTGAGCCGGGACTCTTAGCGGAGACTTGAGGCCCAAGTAAGCAATTTTAGTTCGCGGATAAGCCACCTTAAGATAACAGGAATATAGCGGAGATCCGCTGTCCTGAGTTTTTGCATTCGGTTAGGAAACCATGTTGGGGTTCTATTACGCAGGACCTCCATATGAAGAGCATTTGGCTGATTGTTGTGCCTCCATAGCGCATCAGAGTGCTATAGGGGGAAAGGGATGGTCTAGAACATTGGAGCACGGTGGGGTGACTCCTGTTTATATTCGAGTTAACACACCTTGCTCCAATGAATTGTTACACCCAATCGTAATTCTTAGGGGTGAACATTTCTCATAGGCTGGGTTCAATCAAATTGCTCGCTTGCTGCAGTTAGTTTAGTTGATAAGATAGTACCGAACTGTAAGGTTATAAATAAATAATTCGAACCGCCCGTTTCATTTAAAAACGGTACAATACAATAATTAAATATTTATTGTCATTTAAGTCTGGTATATTTGAAATGCAAAAAATAGCTTATGCTATTGTAAAAGACTTACTTATAGTAATTTAATTTCAGTATGTAATTTTTTTATAAATATTTAGCCATAGAACCAAGTTAGTTTCATTGAGTAGCGACTGCATCATTTATGCTGTGAGTCACTGTACGTGCCATAACGATATAAGTAAATTTCTCGTTTTGGTTGTTTTTTTTGGCATTGGTTTAGCCAATTAGCCAATTAAAATAATCAATATTTATTTGAATAAACATATGAACCAAAGAAAATAAATTTCGATCCTGTAAAAATTATATTTGTCTGTCCGTTCGTCCGTCTGTCTATCCAGTCTTAAATTGAAAAATTGTAAAAGAAAGAGAAAAAATACGCCTTACGGTTAATACGGTTAATATCCAGTCCGTTTCCAGATATTCATAACATATATGCTTTCCATTCTCATATTAACTTTATTAAGTAGGATACTTTGGAACCATCGATAAATCTGGATCCTTTGACTCCACCAAGACTTAGATTAATACCTCGATCAGTCGATATCTTCTAGTCTAGCACGATTAAGGGAACCAGATATCTTGAAAGCCATTAAGATACATCTTGCTTTTCTACACGACTGACCTTCAATATGATACGAAGGATTCATCAACACAAACGTTAAACTCTTTTTGGCTTCTGAATGACTTCCCACTAAAACTGAAGATCTATGAAAAATCCTTCTAGAATTTAACGATGTCTATGGAATTAGTTCAACTGAGGTGAAAGCTGATCTTGCTGCTTTTAGGTCTTTTCTCACTTCGGAAATAATTATTCACCTGCAAAAATCAACGGAAAGTCATTAGTCCGTTGTCTCTCCAAAACGAAATTTTTAAATAATACCACATATTCTGTGGGACTAGAAAACATAAATTATTTTAATAATAACAACTTTAGCATGGTTCTGATTAATATTCAATCTATACGATATAAAACAGATTAATTATTTTTGTTTATAGAGGAATTATCATTTCTTCAGATAGTTGCGGTTACCGAGCATTGGCTCAGTCAACGAACTTTTTTTATAGAAAACTATATTACTCTTGCTGGGTATGATCGTCCAAGTTCAGCTCATGGTGGCACCCCAATTCTTTCTCTAAGAAGTAACGATTTCTCTCCTATAACAAAATATGACTTTCTGTCAAATGAAGCATTATTTGAGTTTTCTTAAGAATCTTAATCTATATAATCTTTGCATTTATAGATTACCTGATTCTTCCACGGAACCATTTTTTCAGAACCTGCTAAATTTGTTAAAAGACCTGCCCAATAAAAGCAGAAACATTCTATGCGGTGACTTTAATTTTAATTACGCTGTTGCTTGTGCTACAAAATTATCCTTGGTCAATATATTCGAATCGTATGGTTTTATAATGCACGTTAATTCTCGTACAAGAATTACTAAAATTACATCTACCATAATTGATTATATTGTGTCAGATTTCTCACCCCTTGATGTACGCTCTACAATAAATTATTAATCCAGGACTATCTAATCATGAAGCAATCTATACCAAGTTTATGACTTTGAAAAAACTATCCTCGAAAACCCAAAGCTTAGGTAGGATTTTTTCTGCTCAGAACTTTCGTAAATTCCAAAATTTGTGCTTAAATTCTGGATGACACTTTCTGGATGACAATTCTGTGGACGAGGACTATAAATTCAGTGATTTTTTGGATAGTCTTGTCTGTATTTTCATTAACGCATTTCCTTTACTTGTAATTAAGTCAAAACATCACAAACCCTGAAAATCTAAATGAATACTTTGTTAATGTGAGTTAAAATATAACATTAACTATTTTGCCACAACAAGATCCTATTTTCTATCCCCCAATTCAAAAAAGGTCTCGAATTCATTCTTTATAAGACCAGTTGATAAGTCTGAACTGATCCAAACAATCAGTAGTATCAAAAGCAAATATTCCTATAGTACTGATGGACTATCCATAAAATTTTTCTTAAATTTCCCAAAAAATATGTTGAAAGTCCTGGTCTAACTAATTAATAATTCCTTTGAAAAATATATATTCCCAGAATGCCTAAAGACAGCTATTATTTTTCCTCTTCATAAGGGTGATGAAAAATCGAATGTCTGCAACTATAGACCTATTGCCTTACTACCGGTCCTATCCAAAATTATTGAGAGACTTATAAGACCCCGACTTATGTGCTTTCTCGTTGAAAACAACACATTATCACAAAGTCAGTTCGGCTTTTTATCTAATAAATATACATACAATACAATACAATAAATATACAATAATCTTTACACTGTCTTGTTTTTAACGTTTAATCAATATGGAACATTGTAAACTTCCTAAAATTTCCAGATGGTAATTTAAGTAATTTAAAACTATCTTTTTATTATTCTTTAATATTACAGCTCTATTACAACAGATATAGAATACCGATCTGATGGTAAGAAAATGATAAAGTTCATTGAAGGTTGGTTGGTAAAGTTAGACTTAAGGTACGAATGTTTTAATATTGGATTTTACAACCTTAATGGCCAGAAAGTTAGAATTCCCCCAGTTATTTTAGCTTCATTAGGAAATGACCCAAATAAATACACGGTAAGTTGACTACGTCCACAAATTAATTATAACAATGACTCACTTAAAATTAGTTTTATAATTTTTATGAGAGCAGTTATAACTTTCGTATAAGGGGCTACAATAGAGTTAAAAAACTTTCCGGTACATAATCGTATGGATGATTTCTCACAATTGATTTGTGTAATCCTGACAGCGGTTTCATTAAAAATGACTTTTCCCAAGTGGTCTATTTCGAATTTTTATTGAATTTAGAGGTTTTTGACGACCAAGTATAAAAAAGGAAACAACTTATAGGGTTTAAGTTAAGTGATTGAAGTGATTGAATTCAACGAAGCGATAGTAGCTTTTACTAAAATATTTAATCTTTTACACATCTCCTATAGCCCAGAGAACAGAAAACGATATTATTAAATCGTTTTTGTTCATGGCCACCAAAGCAGGTGGCACCTCTGTACGGTAACCACTACAATGGTCAAGTTTTAGGAGATATTCGTAGAACTTTCCGAGTCTGAATTTGTATCAGTCAGAGTGCCTGATGAAGCACGGATGCTGAAATAAGTCATAACATTCTATTGATATCAATTCGAGCAGAGGAAGTTCAACGAATATATTACAAAAGAACAGACATTGGACGTCAGGGGAATTAGTGGAAAAAAGAAGAGTTATGTTACAACATACCTCAAAAAGAGGAAGTCACACTCAAGAAATAGCGAAACAGACCAGGAGAATAAAGGGTATGTGTCAAACAACCATATAAATAAGGTGTGTCAAGAACTGGAGCAATATGCAAACCCCCATGAAAGTCATTAACTATTTACAAAAGTTAAATATCTGGTCTGAGATTTCAAGCCACAACTTTAAGCCATTCAAGACCACAAATAAAGAAGTAAAAAACCGACATGCAAAAAATGCAATCAGAAAGGCAGAACCAATAATCTTACGTGCAGAAATAGAGAAGGCTCTCAACCAACTAAGAAAGAAAAAATCCCCAGGGATCGATGGCATACCAGCGGAGACTCCAAAAGCAATGGGCGAGATTGGCGTAGATGTAATATTGGATATGTGCAACATAATATGGATCACAGGTGAGTGCCCCGATGAGTGGTGCGAATCAACATTTATCCCCATCCATAAAAAAGGATCACTAACCGTACGCAACAATTACCGAACTATTGCCCTTATTTCTCATGCAGGCAAAGTCCTGCTACATATAATCAATGAACGACTAAAGAACTTTATACTCCCAGAGATAGCCTAAGAACAATGCGGATTATACTAGGAGAAGGAACGCGGGAGCAGATACTTAACACCAGACCAATAATACCGAGAGAACACAAACATATCAATGCTGCTCTGTTTCGCAGATTACACAAAGGCTTTCGATTCAGTAAAATGGGATCCCCTCTGGAGTATATCGGAAAATATGGGAGTACCTAACTACCTAGTTAAACTAATAAAAAATCTGTAGGATAATAACCAGACATTGTTAAAATACATGGAATATATTCAGATGTGTTCAAAACAAAGAAAGGCACTAGACAGAGCTGCATACTATCACTATTATTGTAGAACATACATTCTGAATATATAATGGAAAAAGTACTAGACGAATGAAATGGAGGAATCACAATGGAATGGAGGCAGAAAAATCAGCAACCTGTGATATGCAAAGGATACACTTATACTAGCAGCGAATGAAGTCGAAATGATTACCAACACTGAACGTCTAAGTCGGATAAGTGAAGAATTTAGAGTTCAGCTCAACACCGGAAAAACAAAAATACTTGGACGAAAAACAATGGCGATTGCTCCTCAGAAATCAAGCGTAGACTAGCAATGGCCCTAACCGCAACAGATAAACTGATTAAAATATGGAAATATCGAACAATAACAAAGGAATACTAAGCTCAGGTTGGTCAATGCCATTATTTTTCCTATTGCTACATACGCAGCTGAAACATAGACACACAAAAAAATTGATAGGAATAAGGTCGAAGCCTCTGAAATGTGGGTCTATAGAACAATTCTACTCGTGTCCTAGACAAAACATAGTACCAACCTGTCAATTCTGAAAGAGCTTCATATAAAAGACAGGTTATAAAAAACGTAAAACGAGCATACCAAACTTACTTTGGCCTACATTCGAAAAATCTCCAACACGATGGCAGACCAAATGAAAACACTGATGGGAAAATCCCTACATGAAGCCGTCCATACGGCAAAGGATCGCAGCCAATGTAGCAGCAAGCCAATAATATTTAGAGTGTCACTATGCCCTGACAAGGGCCCAAAGAATGAGAAGGAAGGATATAATATATATTGTTATGATTGTTTATCTTGACTTTGATTTTACTTTATTGAGCCAATCAACAAATATAACTTAATTGTTATCAAATGTAAAATAAAACTCCTTTAATTACCTGTTTTCGATGGATTCAAAGATTTTCTAGTCGTCCTTTATCGGGATAGAGAAGAAGGATAATAATAAACGAGAATAATATATTACAAAAAATTAAGTATTCTTTATTTTATATGAAAAAGAATAAAACAATTATCAAATTCTACCATTATCTTATCAATCAGCATACAAGAAATTAAATAAAATTTTTATAATAATAAGATTTTAAATCTACATACATTTATATTAAGTGAAAACCAATTTTACTTAAACTTTCCTTTACTTAAACAAAAAAAAAACAACAAAACTTTAAACTTTTGATTAGTATAACAACTCAGTTCTTTTAATTTGAATGATAATAATCATGATGTCAACACATATCCTTCACAGATACCAATTTCAATTGTACAAAACACTTACAGCTTTTTTCCTTATTGAATTGTATGTTGGAACATACCCAGAAAAGTTCAGTCTCCTCAACGATGTGATCTCTGGCGAGCTGGCACCTCGGCTCCTTCCTAATGTTTCTGCAAACCTCCTGCAGACTACCCAAACCACCTGATTCACTTCTCCAAAACAACTCAGCTACTTATTTATGACACAAGGACCTCCTTTTGTTAACTTGATGCCGTAAAACTACTTTCACATATACTTCACAAAATGCCCACGGTAGATACACGGACCTCTTTTAATCCACTTGTTATCTCCTTCTGCAAAACTATTCACTTCTTTTTTATCATTTGGTAAAACCAAAGTACTGTTTCAGAGAAAGAATAAAATAAAATTGATTTTTTTTGTCCTCAGTCTGTTACTACACAATCTATACCTGTTTCCAAAGATTAGAACGTGGTCATTTAATACACATACAATGACAAGATTAACTTACAAGTAAAATATCTTCTAATTCTACACAAAGGGGTTATTCTTATCTACACTAAATCTTATCTTAAATTACTATATACATTTTGTTTATAATGATATCGTATGGTATGTATATATAATACATTTTATTCCGATGGATCTTTTTATTTAATTTTTTTTTGGTTGGGAAAGAAGAAGTATGTAGAAGTATAAGTAATTGTACAAAAAAAAACAGTAGATTCTACACGTTAAAATATTACGATTTAAACATAAAATATTGATATTAAGAAAGATACAAGGTGTTAAACTGCATATTTAAAATTTTATTTTTTGCTATAACTTTCATATTTGTGAACATCTATTTATAAAAATTTACAGCTGGGTATTTTTAAATATGAGAAATTATAATTTAATGCACACTTTGCTGTAACTGATAGAGGGCACCACATAGAGGGATTTAAGGCAATTACTCCAGGCAACGAATGGAAAAATAGACAAAAACATCAATACTTCTGAATTTGGTATAAAATACTATTAACTAAAGTTAATAGAATACTATTAACTAAGTTAATAGTTAATGAAATATTAAATAAAATAAATATATTAGCAGGGTAATTAATAATAGAATTTGAGAACTACATCCTTTTCGTCGCAAAGGTTAAATAATGTATTAAACTGTGAAGTATCTCGTTCATTGGTTACTTATATACACACGGAATAATGTATCGATGCCATTACTTCTTTATGTGAATACGTTACAGCTTACAAGTAACTATAATTACATTTCGAACGACTATTACGATTTTACCTACTAACGAACTAATATTATGCTGAATTATGCTTTGCCTGTTTGTTTACTATATTTATAACAATATCGGTTATTAGGTTATTAGACAATTAAGGTTAGATTTGTAGCAAAAGTATTATGAAACAAGAGATATGTATTATTCAATACTTGTAGTCTAGTTTCTAATTGTCCTAGAAAAATGGGTAAACAATTTAGGTAATGAATAATAAGTATTCTTTTAAGGATTTTTTATGAATTAAGTAATTATATCAATATCTTACCACATTGCCAAGGAATACGACTACCACGACCAATCCAACGTTCAAAAAAGTTGTATTAAGTATGTTGTCACTGCCTTCTCTCTAGAATGTGGTGGTGTTCCATCTTGCATAAACCACATATTTTGGGTTTTCAGCATTTTACAATAGAGAAAAAATAATACAATGCCAGTATAGAAACTTAAGAAGCGATAGAAAAGGGAAATTGTAAACATGATGGCATCCAACGCCTGAATACACGGCACCTAAAGAAGATGATGAAGAATCTTTTCTACAATAAGAGATTAAGCAACCATAACAAAGCATTTTGTGATATTAAATTATTATCTTTGAATTGTTTTAATAAGAATAAACTATGAATTATGCTTATCTATAGGTCTTCAGTGCTTTACCGCACAAATATCAAAACTATAGAATTATT